TACGAGCATTGGTATCTCGGAAACCGTAATAGATACGAAGATGGTTAAATTGGGGCAAAGTTGCTCCCTGGCATGTTCACCAAGATGCCATCAAAATTTTTTTAAAAATTTCAAGGATTGCTGAGTTTTTTGGAAAAAACGGATTTTTTTGAAAATCAATTTTATTTTTTCCTGTCGTTACTTTTTAGAAAATCAAAAAATTAATTGCACATTCTCATAACCACTTTATTAGGGCTATCCGATGGTATTTTTAGATTTTCAAATTAGCTTATAATTTGTGAGACAGAGGCCAACCTAATTTTTTTAAATACGGACCTGCATTTTTTATTTGAAGTTTTGAAAGACTTCGGTCTCCTGAGTACAATGATATGCCACACTTGATACTTTTTTTTGTTTTGAATACCTTAACAATAAAAAACTATTTAATTGGTATTTAAAATAATTTCAACTCGGACTCTGGTTTTTTAATTTATTTAATCTGATTATATTCAGCGCAACAATATTGATCAGCGCTAATTAACATTGAATAAGGAAAATCACGTCTTGAAAGATTCAAATAATTAATATCCAGGTCAGCAATTTAAAACTATCTATTATTTTTAACTTTTTATGTTGCGAATTTGAAATCCCCGTGTACGATCTAATAATATGCGTAATATTAGCGTAGTTATTATAAATAAATCAACTTCTACAAACTAGTTTCTAATGCTCTGCATGTTCGAAAGGGTTACCATCATATTACTCCATAATGCACAAATTTATTTTTGTTTAGTCTTTTTTATAGCTCTTTGAACAGATCTTCTTATACTTCCGAATGCATTTTGTACTCTCTAATTTTTTTTTATTACTCGTTAATTGTTATTGTACAATTAATGGTGAAATTTATTGATTTCAAATGTCCAAAATAATTTTTATTGATTTTCTTTATTTAATGTTAATTAGCGTTGATCAATATTGTTGTGCTGAATATAATCAGATTAAATAAATTAAAAAAAACAGAGTCTGATTTGAAATTATTTTAAAGAACAATTAAATATTTTTTTATTGTTTTATCCAAAAAAAGTATCAAGTGCGGCATATCACTGTACTCAGGAGACCGAGGTCTTTCAAAATCTGAAATAAAAAATGCAGGTGCGTATTTAAAAAAAATAATTTGGCCTCTGTATCTCACAAATTATAAGCTAATTTGAAAATCTAAAAATATCATTAGATAGCCCTAATAAAGTGGCTATGAGAATGTGTAATTAGTTTTTTGATTTTCTAAAAAATAACGACAGGAAAAAATAAAAATTATTTTCAAAAAAATCCGTTTTTTCCAAAAAACTAAGCAATCCTTGAAATTTTCAAAACTTTTTTGATGGCATCTTGGTGAACATTCTAAAGCGCAACTTTGCCCCAATTTAACCATGTTCGTATCTATAACGATTACCGAGATACCAATGATCGTACCTGGAATTTGTAGCACCCTGTATAGCGGATGACCTACAATTAATATAATATGAAAAATTATTTTAATAATATTACTCACACAAAATTATAACTTTTGGAAAATGCTAAATACATAATGAGATTAAAACGGAATTGTTATTCTTAATCGACTCAATATCTAAAAATATCTTTTAATACTCTAGTTTTCAATCTTATTCTTTTCTATTTTTCTCTTAACAGCAATATATTATTTGAAAATATCTTTACCAAAAAGTACCTACAACGGTAGAAAATCTAAAGTTCCAACATTGACTAAAACTACTAAGGAAAGAGTATATGAACGAAATTTGTGAGACCGCAAAGGGGTTTCAATATGGCTGACTAAGTTCCGTTTAATCAATTATGAATTTCTTCTTTAATTTATGAGTTTCGTTATAGCTCCATTTATGTTCCAACTAGCGAAGCTGGTGCGTAAAACTATGCTTGCCACCGTAGTGAAGTAGAAGCAGGCGGCGTGTTATTACACATTTAAAAAGTTTTATTAGCTTCCTTAGACTTTTTGAAGATATCAAAAGATTTATCTATTTTTTTAGAAGTTTCACAAATTGTCAGAGTGTATTAGAAGTTTCTAGAGAACTACAATATCCAGATCGGAGACAGAGATTTGCACACGGAAATCCAGAGATTTGCACATCACTGTGTCACAACGAGATCTATCGATTAAAAATATTTTCAATATGGCGGCACTTCCGGAAATACTGGAAGTTGACAGCAACATTCTTATTTTAAATGGGTACCCCCATTTTTTATTACATACTTAAATTCTCTGTAAAATTTTATGAATTTTGATGTTAACACTCTACACCTAATATTAACCGTTTTTGAGAGAAAAAAAATTATGGAAGAAAAAAACTGCCTCTCAAAAAATCTGGATAGCCTAAACGACGAATTTAGTAATTACCACAGCCACTGGGCCATAAAGAGGAGACATGTGGCTATCTACTTTAGAAATTGAATTGTTTGAATGTCATATAATATTGGCCGTAGCTGTCATGGGATTGAGCGATTAAAGATAAATCATGTTTTTTAAATGGAAACCCACTTTTTTTATTTCACTGGTGAAAAGGTTTTTTAATTCGTTACTTTTTGATTATACATGTTCCTATACCTAAAATAAATCCTTTTTAAATTATTTAAGATTTAGTATTAAAGCCTATCTTTTTTTTTGTTTTTTTATGACTTTAAACGTCACGCGATGTAAAACTATATCTGGCCAAGTCATATTGCTTTTAGCTATCACTAAAATACGAGATATATTTTTATAAATACACTTTATAAAGTCTTACCAGTAGTATTCCTAATAAAAAATGTCTATAACTATGTAGGATTTTTTGGGAGAGTATTTATAATATACGGAATTAAAATAGTTAGTTTTTTAATAGAAGGAAATAAATTGTCTGATGGTTTGACACTTAATGTTAAATTAAGTTATTAAGGAAGCTAGATGATAAAATCAAGAAAAAGTTACGCTTTAAAATTAAATCTTAAATAACTTAAAAACAATTTATTTTAGGTATAGGTTCATGTATAATTATTAAAAAGTAACGAATTCAAAAACATCTCTCGAATGGTTTAAGTCGTATCTGAGCAACAGAAGTCAAATTGTGAGGGTGGATACCACGTTGTCATAAGGTGGATACCACGTTGTCTTCTAGCAAGCCAATAGAATGTGGAGTACCACAAGGCTCAGTACTAGGCCCCATTTTGTTTCTTCTTTTTATTAACGACATTGGTAACATAAACATCAGTGGCAAAATATGTCTTTTTGCCGACGATACTAGCTTCACTTGGAGCAACAAGGACGTCACGGCACTTCATAGGATTATATCAAATGACTTAATCACCATTAAATCTTGGTGCGATTCGAACCTCCTGAGTTTCAACATTTCTAAAACTAAAGCTTTGTCGTATAAAAACTCGCTGCAGCCTTTTGTACTTAACAACACCACCATTGACGTCGTAAAATCTGTAAAATTCTTAGGGCTTGTTGTGGACAATTCTCTGAAATGGGACATGCATATCGAAGCTTTGTCGAAAAAATTGAGCTCTGCCTGTTTTGCATTAAGATCTGTTTCTAAGGAGCTTAACTTGTCAGTGGCTAGAACTGTTTATTATGCACTTTTTGAGTCGCACCTTAGGTATGCCCTTCCATTCTGGGGTACGTGTTGTGCGACTCAATTTGACCGCATTTTCAAACTCCAGAAGAGAGCTGTTCGATATTCACTGGGACTAAACAGCAGAACTCATTGCCAGGACTTTTTTAAAAAATTAAAAATATTAACTCTTCCTTCCTTATTTATATTTGAATGTATGTATCAGCTTCTCAAGAAAGGCCATCTCACACTTATCCACTCAGGAACGCGGAGCAAGATCTTTATCTACCTACCCCACGCTCAGAGTTAGTTAAAAGTTCAATATTATACAACTCGAAAAAAATGCACAATCACCTGCAATTTGAAATCAAATCCATAACATCATTTTCTTCTTTTCGCAAAGCATTGAACTGTTATTTACTAGACAAGGCTTTCTACGCCGTAAATGAATTATATTTTGATAATCGAATTTGATCTTGTAAACACTGGTCTAATGTTTGCTATTGCTATATTTACCAATGACACTGAAATAAATTTATTTAGAGGTCATTGATATTCACTATAAACTAACTAAATATTTTTGAATATTATTATTATTTTTTTTTATTTTTTGACATTGTAAAAATTTATATAAATGTTTATTTTAAACAATAAGACTGACAATATTATTTGTATAATGTTTTGTATTATCTTTTGTTTGTTTGTTTGTGTACATTGTTTGTTTACTTTACCTTTGTCTACAAATTGTAAATTTTTTTGACAATAAAGGCCATCTATTTATTTATTTATTTTTACTAGTGAAATAAAAATAGTGGGTTTTCATTTTTAATCGCTCAATTCCATGACAGCTACGGCCAATATTATGACATTCGAACAATTTAGTTTTTGAAATAGATAGCCACATGTCTCCTTCTTATGCCACAGTGGCTGTCGACTAAATTTGTCGTTTAGGCTATACAGATTTTTTTGACAGGCAGTTTTTTCTCCAAAAATTTTAAATATATTTTTTTTCAAGAACGGTTAATGTTAGGTATACAGATTTTGATATCAAAATTCATAAAATTTTACAGAGAATTTAAGTATGTAATAAAAAATGGGGGTACCCATTTAAAATGAGAAAGTTGCTGTCAACTTCCGGTATTTCAGAAAGTGCCGCCATATTGAAAATATTTTTAATCGATTGATCTCGTTGTAAAACAATAGTGTGCAAAAAATCTCCGATATAGATATTGTAGTTCTCTAGAAACTTCTAATGCACGCTCAGCCTTGGACACCCTGTATATTATCAATAAAACTAAGTCAAATTTTTATCTCCAGCCAATACGGTATCCTTCAAAAAACTGTAAAACGCTTATAAATTTGATCTTGTTCTTCCATCCACCACCCAAATAAAAAACAAACATGCAAAAATCGACTTACGTGGCGTCACGATGCATCCTCTGAACGGATCACCGGTGAAACCCGGACCGCACGTGCACACCGGGTTGTGATTGACGACGGAACACAGCGCGTTTGGACCGCACGTGCCCGGGCACGGGTCGCGACACTTTTGGTTGATACATGCGCGCGCGCTCGGACACTCCGGATTAATAGTGCACTCCGGCCGACAGGAGGGCGGCTGGCCTACGAAACCCTCGACGCACGAACAGGCCGGACTCTCGCCGCGCACTTGGCACACCGCGTTCGCGCCGCACGGGCTCGGTTGACACGGGTTGACAGGTCGTTCCACTGAAAATAAGAAAGTGAGGTTAGTAACAGTTTCAATTTCTATTTGTTTATTGTGTCATAAACTCTTGCATTAACTAATAAAATTATTTTTTTTATTACGTAACATACTAATCAGTATACAGGGTTGTTCACCACATACGACACGGAGTATTGTAGCTAAACGATTAGATTTTTACAAATTGTAAGTTTTGGGTTCGTTGAAGGACTATTAGAGCTAAAATTTAAAAATAATTTTACAAGATACAAAGTGTCCCAAATAAGTGAAAAATATTACAGTTGTATTTTTCTAAATAGAACACTCTGTATATTATTATATTTTTAGATTTTACGATTGAAATAAAGGTAAATTTGATTAAGGTTTATCACATTTAAACCTTACCATTTTTGAATATTTTCAATTTTGTGAAATTGCAGTAAAATATTTGAGGCTTCATTTCTCCAAGGGTATCAAAGTTTGTTATACTAAATATATACTAAAGAATATTTTATTGATCAGTTATTGTGTTGCAATAATAAAAATTATACAACTTTATAGAGAATATCCAAAAATTAATATTAAATAATTACTAGCTTTAAACGGCAATAACTTGATTAATTTAAATAGAACACCCTGTATATTTTACGTGCATCAGATGCACAATTAAATTGTCTATCAAAATGTATGAAATCATTTTTTACTTATCTCTTCAAGTTTTCGTAGAAAATTCATGTTTTTCTAATTTAGGCCTCATTTATCACTATATCAATGGAATATTGATATTTTAGATTTTTTTTTAAAGTAACATATGTACAAAATGTACAGGTGGTAAAGGTAATAATATTACAAGCCCATTTGTTTAAAGGGAAATTAAAACAACTTTTGTTGCACGTCATCAATGACACCATGCGTCGTCTTATGGAGTTTGCTGGTGGTCGTATTATGATGTGAAACCAAAGTTATTTTAATTTCCTTATACAAAAAGTTAACTTATGAAAATTAACGTCTATGTTGTTATAAATAAGCATTCGTCACAAAAATGAAATAAAATTTATAAGGTGCTACTTTTTACCACACTGTCTAATACACATACAAAATTCTTTTTTTTTAGTATTTGGAGCAATTATTATTAATCAACGTAAACAGTCAATTAATGTAGTTTGAATACTGGGATTATATTAATTAGTCCTCTTTAACAAAACATATTTAAATAGTTTTTTTTTTAATTTTTTAATGAAACAAGCGAACTATATCGACAATATTAGTATCTGGTACTTTTTTAAAAATTTGTTACATTTTTAAAAATAATCTAAAATGCCAATATTCCATGGGTATAGTGGTAAATAAGGTCTAAATTATGAGAAAATGCATTTTCTACGAACATTTGAAGAGATAAGCAAAAATTTATTTAATACAATTTGATAGACAATTAAATTGTGCGTCTAATTCACGTAAAATATACAGGGTGTGCCATTTAAATTAATCAAGTTATTGCCGTTTAAAGCTAGTAATTATTTACTATAAATTTTTTGACACTCTGTAGCATAATTTTTATTATTGAAGCACAATATCTGACCAATAAATAATCTTCAGTAAATATTTAGTATTAAAAACTTTGATACCCTTTGAGAAACGAAGCCTTTTTTTTACTGCAATTTCCGAGGCAATTTCACAAAATTGAAAATATTTCAAAAGGTAAGGTTTAAGTGTGATAAACCTTACTCAAATTTACCTTTATTTCAATCGTAGCATCTAAAAATATAATATTACACAGGGTGTTCAAAAAAATACAACTATATAATATTTTTTACTTATTTGGGACACTCTGTATCTTGTAAAATTATTTATAAATTGTATTGATAAATTATATCTATTGAACTTATTTTGATTCAAAAAATACATAGTAACACAGAAGCAGTAATTGTGCAAATAAAAACCAATCTTCATGGGAGACGTTAATATACTGTTTAAAAATATAAAATAAGGTTTGATCAAAGAAAATATTACATCATTTTGATTGGACTAAAAAAAAACACAAATTTGACGGTAATATATAAGAGAAGCCATAAATATATTGCAATAACGTGGAGGTCATTTAGGTAACGAATGAGATCATTCATAATTAATCGCAAAATTTCATTCGCATCATGCAAGATACATCAGTAACCAAGACCAAGTGTGAGACCAGGTTGGAAATTACCTGTTTTATAATTCAATGATAAGTAAGCCTATCTATCAGCCTAACCGCATATATTTGATAATCAATTTATCTAAAAACACTAAATCTAAGGGCAATCGGTGACTGTGAGATTAAACATTTTAGTACCTTTAACTTCTTGTATTATAAAGCATCTAGTAAATGGATCGCCGGTATATCCAGTGGAACAGCTACAGATGGGATTGTGATTTACAACTTGACACTTGGCATTAATTCCGCATGTTCCGGGGCATGGATCGACACATTTCTGGTTTAGACAGGCTTGCGTTAGGGGGCATTCGGCACTAATAACGCATTCTGGACGACATTGTGGAGGGCTTCCAATCATGGCGGGTTGACAAGAGCACACTGAAATGCCGTTATTTACCCTACATATACTGTTTGGACCACAAGGTGATGGCTGGCACGGATTTTCTGGTGGGGAAGCTGTGAAATATATTTTTCGTGTAGTATATTATTATTGTGGATATATTTTCAAAACTTACGAACTCGAGTTACTGGATTGCAACTACTAAACGGATTTCCTTCGTAATTTTCCGGACAGCTACAAATAGGTAGATGGTTGACAACGCTACATATCGCTCTTTGACCGCAAGTACCCGGACAAGGATCCACGCATTTCAAATTAATACAAGCTTTATTAGGAGAGCAGTCTGTGTTTGAGGAACATTCCGGTTTACATCCTACATAAGGATCGCCTTTGTATAAGGCCAAGCAGGTACAAATTCCGTTGTTGCATTGTGCATTTGGTCCACAGGGCGACGGTTGACATGGATCGCCCTTCTTGGGTGGCGGAGGTGGTGGTTCCACTACACATTCAGTAAAAGCGTTTCCGGTAAATCCAGGAAGACAAGAGCAGATGGGAATGTGGTTTTGAACGCGGCATTCGGTGTTAAAACCGCAAGATCCTGGACAGGGATCTCTGCATTTCTCCGAGATACAAGCTTGATGAGACGGACAGTCGGTGTTAACCACGCACTCAGGTCGACAATTTGGTGGAATTCCGATATAGTTAACTTTGCAAGTACAAGATGGCTGTCCTCCAATGTCACGGCACTCGGAGTATAATCCACATGGAGACGGTATGCATGGATTTGACGGAACAACAGGAATAACTGGAGTTTTGACTACTTCGAAACATCTTACGAAAGGATCGCCGCTCAATCCAGATGGACAAATGCATATTGGGTTGTGGTTTATCACTTCGCATCTGGCGTTTATACCGCATGTTCCAGCACAAGGGTTAGCGCATTTGAACTTGTGGCATGCTTTGTTAGAAGGACATTCCGAACTGACTACACACTCAGGTTTGCAAGATGGTGGTTGACCATGGTACTCTGGCAAGCAGGAACAGACAGCTTGGTCATTGACATTCCGGCATTGGCTATTAGGTCCGCACGGTGAGGGCTGACAGGGGTTGATCGGTTCATGAACAGTAGCTGCAAGTTAATATTTGTGTTAACATTATATGCATAATATTTTTGGTATTCTTTTTGAATTTGGTATTCTGAATTAAAAAGCAATTTGATATATGATATTCACAATCAAATGTTTACTTTTTAGGCTTAGCCGTTTTTGTTTAAAGTTGAAAGTATTGTAATTTTGGTTCATTTGACAAGCAAAACATTTTGTATGAAAAAGACCAATCGGCAAATTGTATACCACCTTAATTTTAAGCCACATTATTTTAAAAAAAGTGTCACCATTTGATTTTTTTCACTTTTTTTATTAACTCTCTGTAATGATACAAACTAAAGGTGTAATGCTTTATTATTAGTTAATTCTTTAAAAAAAAAGGAAACATTTTAAATCAAATATACAGGGTGACGCCTCTCATACGACGCAGAGGTTCCATGGAGAACGGTAGTTTATATCGAAATAAAATTTTGGTAGCTTATGCGGGTTAGTTTAGAGATTTTTTTTAAATATAGAGAATTTTACAGGGGTCTAAATCTAAAATACTTACGTTCTCTGGGTAATTCTTGTGGAGAACAAAAAGAAAATGCATTTCCTGTATAGCCTGCGATGCAATTACAGGTGGGCACGTGATTAATAACTGAACATTCTGCATTTTGACCACAAGTTCCTGGACAGGGATCGCTACATTTACTTCTGATGCAAGCTTTGTTCTGGGGACAATCTGAACTAAGTACGCATTCTGGCCTGCAGCCTTCGTAAGGATTTCCTTGGTAATCAGGTAAACATATACATGCTCCCGCGCCATTTCTTTCTTTACATTCTGCATTGGCTCCGCATGGAGATGGTTCACAAGGCTTGATAGGTTCGGATATTACAATACATTGAACAAATGGATTGCCCGTATATCCCGATAAACACGAGCAGGAAACTGTGTGAGATATTACTGAACATTCCGCATTATCTCCGCAAATACCAGGACACGGATCTTTACATTTGTTGTTAACGCAAGCCTGCGTGCTAGGACAGTCTGTGTTGATTATACATTCTGGTCGGCAATTTGGTGGATTTCCGATATAGTTTGGCAGGCAACTACAGTCATACGAGTCTCCTATAGTTCTGCATACGGAATTTGGCCCGCAAGGTGAAGGGTTGCAAGGCTCTTTTCTTGGAACTGGTACTGGTTCTGGAGGAATTTCCTTACAAATTTGGAATGGATCACCGGTTTGTCCTTCCCCACAACTACATATTGGACTATGATTTCGTACTTCACATCGAGCATTCACTCCGCAAGTTCCTGGGCAAGGATCGATGCATTTTTGGTTAATACAAGCTCTATTTTGAACACATTCGGAGCTGACTACGCATTCGGGTCGACATCCTGGAGGGCTACCTTGATAACCTTCTAAGCAGGAACAGACGGCTTGCTCATTAATTTCTCGACATTGACTGTTGGGTCCGCAAGGTGATGGATTGCAAGGGTTTTGTTTTGGTGGCGGCTCTGATACATGACATTTTTGGAACGGATCTCCGGTATATCCATCTGGACAAGAACATGTGGGTATATGATTAATAACATCACATCGAGCATTTTGACCGCAAGTTCCTGGACAGGGGTCTACACATTTATTTCTGATACAAGCTTTATCTCTTGTACATTCAGCACTGAGGACACATTCTGGTCTGCACGCTTCATAAGGATTTCCACTGTATTCAGCCAAGCATGTGCATATACCGTTGTTACAAAGAGCGTTTGTTCCGCAAGGCGAAGGGTTGCATGGATCAAGAGGTCTAGGTTGTTCTGTAGTCGAGGGCGGTAACAAATAACAATTTGTGAATGGATCGCCGGTGTATCCATCCGAGCACGAGCATATAGGGATATGATTTAATACACTACATCTAGCATTAGAACCACATGATCCTGGGCACGGGTCTTTACATTTCTGATTGATGCATGCTAAAGCGCTCGAGCATTCTGAGCTAAGTACGCACTCAGGTCGGCAGTTTGGTGGAGCACCAATATAATTCGGCAAGCAAGAACAAGACGCTCCTCCGTCAACTACTCTGCATTCTGAGTTAGGACCACAAGGATTTGAATAACAGGGATTGGGTCTTTCGGTCGATGGAGGCTCAGCGACCACTGCCTGAATAGAACATCTTTTGAACGGATCTCCTGTGTACCCGGGTGGGCAGGCGCAGATCGGATTATGATTTCTCGTAGTACATTGAGCACCCAAACCACAGGTGTTAGGGCAAGGATCACCACACTTTTGGTTGATACAGGCTTTGTCTAATTGACATTCTGAGTTTACTACACATTCAGGTCTACAGTTTGGAGGCGAACCAATATATAATGGTAAGCATGAACATACAGCTTGACTGTTTACTTCCCTACATTGGCTGTTTGGTCCACAAGGTGATGGCTGGCATGGGTTTATAGGCGGCGGGGGTTCCGTTGGTATAATTCTGCATTGGAAGAATGGGTCACCGGTATATCCTGCAGGACATATACAGTTAGGTACGTGGTTATTTACGTGGCACTCTGCTAAAGTTCCACAGGTACCAGGACAGGGGTCGATGCATTTATATGATACACAGGCCAACTTAGTTGCACAATCGCTGTTAACTTCACATTCTCTGCGACATCCCCTGGTATTATCGTACGGGTCACCTTCGTAACCTGGCGCGCAGTAGCAAGCTCCGGCGCCATTCTTTTCTCTGCACTCGGCATTAGGTCCACATGGAGATGGCGAACAAGGTGTGGCGGGTCTTTCAGTTACTGTAAATAAGAATAATTATAAATTTTTAGTTTCTGATTGAAATGTGGTAGTGTCTTACAAGGTGGAAGTGGCAAACTACAAGAACTAAATGGATCCCCGGTATATCCAGGGAAGCAAGAACATACAGCTTTGTGATTTACAACTGTACATTGCGCATTAATACCGCACAGTCCCGGACAAGGGTCTTTACATTTCTCATTTTTGCACGATAAATGATTGGCGCATTCAGAATCACTTAGGCATTCGGGACGGCAATTTGGTGGTCGTCCGATAAAGTTTTGTAAGCAAGAACATGCAGGCTGATCGGCAACGACTCTACATTGTGAGTTAGGCCCACAAGGTGAAGGTAAGCATGGGTTTTCAGGAGTTCTAGGTGGTGGAGGTACTAAAATACAGAGAAATCTAGAATAAAGTAAAAAGAAACGAAGTATAGAGAGACATACATTCAATTTTAGAGCACTTAGTAAAAGGATCTCCTGTGTATCCAGAATCGCAACTACAAATTGGATTGTGGTTGACGACTCTACATTGAGCATTTATTCCGCATGTTCCTGGGCAAGGATCTACACATTTCTGAGATACACAGGCTTTATCTTGGGAACATTCAGAGCTAACTACGCATTCTGGGCGACACATGGGTGGTGCGCCGACGTATCCAATGTTACAAGAGCACACGGCTATGCCGTTTACTTCTTTACATGTACTATATGGCCCACAAGGTGAGGGTTGGCATGGGTTCGATGGCTCTTCTATAACTAAATAATTATAACATAGTAAGATATTTATCTAACACAAGGGTTAATTTAACGTTAGTATACTATTTTATTTTGGATTCTTACTCGCTTGTATCAGGTTGCAAGCACGGGTGGGATCTCCAGTATATCCCGGTATGCAAATACATGATGGTGTATGATTTATCACGTTGCATTCCGAGTTCAGTCCACAAGTACCAGGACAAGGATCAATGCATTTATTATTTACACAGGCTCTACTACGATCACAATCAGAATTGGTTACACATTCTGGTCTACATCCTGTGTAAGGATCTCCAAAGTATTCCGGTAAACAAGAACAAGATCCGGCATTATTTCTTTCTTTACATATAGCATTCGCCCCACAAGGCGATGGATTACATGGATTTTGAGGTTTTTCTGTAACAGGGGGAGCTAAAAGCAGATTATTATATCAAGTTTTGTATGTAATTGAAGGGACTATCTAATAAAAATTTATAGTAATAAAGTAATAGCTCTTACGGGGTATAACAGAGCATCCATTGAAAGGATCACCAGTGTATCCTGAAATACATTGACAGACCGGCCTATGCTTTAATGTTATACATGTAGTAAATACACCGCATGAACCTGGACAAGGATCTACACATTTTTCGTTTTGGCATGCAAGATTTCCTGGGCACTCAGAGTTTATTGTACATTCTGGTCTGCAGTTTGGCGCCCGACCAATATAGTTTGGTAGACAAGAACAAGCGGCTTGTGTTCCTATAACCCTACATTGAGAATTAAGTCCACAAGGAGAAGGAACACAAGGATTTCCTGTTGGTTCAACAACAGGTTGTTCTAAAAATAAAAACAGAATGCATAAGGACGGTTTGAATTTGAATATAGACTAGAAACTTACTCTCTTGTAAGACACATCTGACAAATGCGTCTCCTACGTAATTTTCGGGACAACTACATATAGGATTATGAGAAACTACTTGGCAACGAGCATTTATTCCACAGGATCCAGGGCAAGGATCTTTACATTTTTGATTGATACATGCTTTATTTTGCGCACATTCTGAACTAACCATACATTCTGGTCTACATGAAGGTGGTGAACCGATATATTCTGGTAGACATGAACAAACAGCATGATTATCAATTTCTTTACAAATACTATTAGGGCCACAGGGTGAAGGCACACAAGGGTTTCCTCTGGGTTGTTCTTCTACTACTGAAGATAAAATGTATTATAATGTTTTAAAATTTTCTTAATCTACGAAGGTAATCTGAAAAGTTGCTGATCCCGCCGTGTATACGGGAACATTCATGTAGTAAAATCGATGCTTAGTTTTTGTTTGATAGTCGCTTGGACGAGTCCATATAATGGTTATAGTGAAAATGGAGAAAATCGAGTTGTTTTTGAAACATAATTTACCTACGTAATCAAGCACGAGTTAGATACCGTGTAAGAGACTATTTAAAATCATTTGCCAGCATGAAGTTAGAGTGTTGAAATTAAATATGGTCAGGACGTCCAATGACCAACTAATTGCAAACCTTTTATCAAAAAATTGAAAGATGCGTACAATTTATCTTAGATAGGAACTATCGAAAACAGGAAATAGCCATTTTATTGGATAGTCAAGCAGCACTAAAAGCGATCAACTCAGTAACCATCAATTCGAAGTTGGGCAAATAATGCCTAGAGAAGCTGAATAAATTAGGCAAAGAAAGTAAAGTTCTCCTACTCTGGGTGCCCGCTCACTAAAGGATAAAAGGCAATGAAAAAGCAAACGATCTAGCTAGAAAAGGAGCGAACACTCCACTAACTAGCCCAGAACCGTTCTGCTTTCCAAGTGGAAACCAACTTAAAACGGAACTCAAGAACTTGGAAGATTCCATCGACTAGACACTCGAAAAATTCTCTCAGAACTTACGACCGAGAAAAATCAAAGATTTTCCTTGATTTAAGTAAGAACAATCTTCGGATTGTCACGGTTTAACAGGACACTATCTTCTTAACGAACACCTCAATAAATTGAAGTTAAGAAACAACAGCGAATGCAGATTTTGTGGGGAAAATGGGGAAACACCAGAACATCTCATCACTGAGTGCGCCGAGAAGACAACCATTCGTACCATAAACTTTGGCTGATGTCGGAGATGGAGAGCTGGCTCTCTGAAGTCGTCTCAGTTTTTGTCAAAGCCCTGAGACTATATGATGAGTTATAATTCGTTCTAACTCAAAAAGGGGGGACACCCAATAGTTCTGTAAGGTCGCAGTGATTAACTTCCCACACATTTTGCATTCTACATTCTAGGATGACTTCACACCTATATCGATTACATTAGCAAAATAAATTGCAGAAGGCCTAAATCGCAGAACCGTACATGAAGAGAATTTTATTCCATAAGAAAACCATCTCACCCCTCAGGCCAAGACAAAATTGGTCCAGTTACAGTGTCTGCTGCTAGAAACTATTTGCATTAACTTGATTTAGCTGTGACCAATTCAATTTTATTCACAAAACAGTTTTTACGCACGAAGAACGATTATTTTCGGCTAACGAGGAGATCATCCTTGTCAACATCAGCTTTACTGTCAAGCACGCCAATTTGGACAGGTTGATGAGTTGAGAGAGCATCTTGATCGAAACGTGTGGTATCTCAAACATATTACGTAGAAGAATAAAAATAAATTTTGAAAAAATATTTTGTATAATAGTGAGATCGTATAATTTTGTATAATCGTGAGCTTTTCAGATCACCCTCGTACTGTGTTAAGGCTCGAATTAATCTTACTAGGTGGTATAATTCTACAAGAATCCAAGGGATTTCCGGTGTATCCAGGTAGACATGAACAAGACGGTGCGTGGTTGGCAACTGTACATTCTGCATTCAAACCGCAAGTGCCTGGACATGGATCTTTACATTTGTTATTTACGCAGGCCTTATCTCTAGCACAATCGGAATTAGTAACACATTCCGGTCTACAACCGGTATAAGGGTCTCCAAAGTAATCGGGAATGCACACGCATGATCCCGCATTATTTTTCTCTCTACATTCCGCATTGGCACCGCACGGAGAAGGATTACAAGGATTTTGAACTTCTGCAACTACCGGAGCTAAAATATTAATTAGGTATCTTTAAGTTATGCTGTAACTAACAAAAAAGAAGGCTATTACTTATTATAAGGACACATCCTGAAAAAGGATCGCCCGTGAATCCAGTTCTGCAACTACAAGTTGGACGATGCGAGATTACTACGCATTCGGCATTGGATCCGCAGGAACCTGGACACGGATCCACGCATTTTTCTCTTTGACATGCTAGATTTGCTGGACAGTCGGCATTTATGGTACATTCTGGCCGACAGTTTGGAGGTCGGCCGATAAAGTTTTGAATACAAGAACACGCCGGGGTGTTTCCAACAACGCGACATTGAGAATTTGGACCGCATGGAGACGGTACGCAAGGGTTTGCTGGAGGAAGCGGTTCGGGTTTTCCTAAAGAAATTAGTGAGTTGTAGTGAAATGTTTCCCGATTAAGATTCGGCACTAAGCGCAAAACATTCCCCTTTAGAACTTTTTCTTTAATGGCCATAAACGGGATACAAAAAAACGCAACGGAGAAATTTTTGGTCAAATTTAAAGTGTTATATTTTTTTTATTTTTAGCCCTATTTTCATGAATTTTTGGAAAACTGTATATAATTATACCAACTTTAGTTCGTAAACTAAGTTTTTTATAAACTTTAGTATTTGGCATATTATACAGGGTTAATCGAGGTGTTGTTTTTTTACCCCAACTTTAAAACACCCTGTGCAATAATTTCGTTTGTATATTTTCCTAAAATATAATTTTATGGTCAGAACCGTGACTCCTGAGCCTTTTGTTTTTTTGATTCATGTCAATACATGCTTTGGTTAATTTTGAAGAGCGAAATGAACTGACTGCGATCAATTTGCATTTTTTTCAGTTATCCTTACTTTGAATGTAATTTTTTAATACGACGAGACGGTATTGTCGAAACGTCATATTACGCTGCATTGAATACTCTATACTAAATTAAAAAAAAAAACGTTGAAAACTAATGATACGGTCCTGGTTTTAATAAATATTACTAACGATTAACGATAACAGAACTAACGATATTAAAGAAAACATCTGTAATACTCAAGTATACAAACAGAAAAAAATGTAAAAAATACCCTATTACTTTGTGTTGCCTCCCTTGGCTGCTTTAACTGCCTGTATTCATTCGTTTATACTGTCATTGAGGCTGCATAATATATCATATTGCGTTATTCTTTCCTATTCTTCTTTAAGAACCAAGCGAAGTTCATTTAATGAAGCTGGTACCGCTTCGCGACCTTTAACCGTCCTGCCAAGTATTTCCCAAACGTCGAACATGATGGGCAGCTCATAGTAGTATATAGTTCGCAATAATCACTAAAGCCTTGTCATATTGAAAAATAACTTCAAAAAGAAATGATAATTGAAAAAATTGCAAATTGTTGGTGGCAATTTATATTTACTTTCATTTCTTAACATGACGGATGAAGTTCTAAAGGGGGATGTTTTGTTGCACTTACTTTCTTCTTGATTGCATTTAATAAACGGATCACCGGTAAAACCGACAGAACAGCTACATATCGGGTTGTGATTGACAGTTTGACATCTGGCATTGATACCGCAGGTTCCCGGGCAAGGATCTGTGCATCTGGTATTGATACACGCCTTATCGAGCGAGCATTCTGAACTAGTCATACATTCGGGTCGACACATAGGGGGTGATCCGATATAGTTTTCTTGACAAGAGCACACTGCATGTCGGTTAGTGACTCTACAAATGCTATAAGGACCGCATGGCGATGGTTGGCATGGTTCCGGTTCTTCTTCTATTACTTAAATGATTAAATCAGGATCGTTATTGTTCGGAATATGCAATTAAATATGAAAAACTATAAAGTCGGTTTTAATTATTTATACTTTTTAGAGAAATCAATTATAAAAATACACCAAAAATTTGAATTAAAAATAATGATAGAGATCAAAATTTTGTTGGAATATATATCATTAAAGTTCATAATATATCATTTAGGTTGAAAAAAAATATCTTTCACTGAAAATTTTAATTAAAGAAATTCTGAATTACAACTTAGATTTTTTTAGAATACAATTTACAGGATTATTCACCAAATACGATAATACGTAGCTAAACGATTAGATTTTTACAAATTGTAAGTTTTTTGTTTGTTGAATGACTATTAGAGCTACAATTTAAAACTATTTTTACAAGATACAGAATGCTCCAAATAAAAAATCTACGATTGAAATAAAGGTAAATTTGATTAAGGTTTATCATACTTAAACCTTACCGTTTTTGAAATATATTCAATTTTGTGAAATTGTAGTCAAAATTTTAAAGCTTCATTTCTCCAAGGGTAGGAAAGTTTTTTAAGCTAAATATTTACTGAAGTTTATTTATTGATCAGACATTGTGTTGCATTAATAAAAATAATACTACCTTATACACAGTGTCTAAAAATGTATATTAAATAATTACTAGCTTTAAACGGAAATAACTTGTTAAATATACAGGGTGTTCCACCCTGTATATTTTACGAGAATCAGATGCACAATTTAAGTGCCTATCAAAATTGTATCACGCCATTTTTTACCTATCTCTTCAAGTTTTCATAGAAATTTAAAAAAAAAGCATTTTCTTATAATTTAGACCTCATTCATCAATATACCAATGGAATATTGACATTTTAGGTTTTTTAAAGCAACAAATGTACAAAATGTACATGTACTAAAAACGAAAATATTGCAAGCCCGTTCCTTTATAAAAAGAAAACTATTTAAATCTTTGTAAAAATGTATACTAATTATTAAATAATGTACCATCATTATTGTCGCCCAAAAATTTGTTAATTACATACTTAATTGTTGTAGTTAATAAATTATTCTAAATAAATGTGGATTTGAATCAGAAATCAATATAATAATAAGTTATGAAAATGACCGTCTCTGTTATTTTAAATAAGCATTCGTGAACAAATGAAATAAAATTTCTAAGGTGGTACTTTTTACCCCACTATCTAAAACACATACAAAATTCAGTTTTTTAATCTTTAGAGCAATTATTCAACACAGTCAATTAATGTACCTACTGAGTTTGAATACTGAGATCATATTAATTGGTCCTCTTTAACAAATATTTAAATTTTTAATAAAATACGCGAATTATATCGACAATATTAGCATAGCGACAATTTGTTACATCTTTAAAAATAATCTAAAATGTCAATATTTCATGGGTATATTGATAAATCAGGTCTAAATAATAAAAAATGCATTTTCTACGAAAATCTGAAGAGATAAGTAAAGAATGGCATAATACAATTTGACAGACAATTAAATTTTGCATCTGATTCTCGTAAAACATAAAAATTATTCCATTTAAATTAAAGAAGTTATTGCCGTTGAAACCTAGTAATTAGTTAAAATAACTTTTTAGGCACTCTGTATAAGGTAGTTATAATTTTTATTATTGCAACAAAAAATCTAATAAATAGAAAAACTTCAGTACAATACTTGTTTTTAAAAACTTAAATACGTCTAGAGAAATGAAGTATTAAAATTGTTAATTCATTTTGACAAAATCTAAATATTTCAAAAACGGTAAGATTAAAATGCGACAAACCATAATCAAATTTAACTTTATGTTAATCGTAGAAACTAAAAATATAATAATATACAGGGTGTTCCACTTAAAAAAATACAACTTTGATATTTTTTATTTATTTTGGACACTGTTTATTTTATTTATTTTGGACACGGATTTATTTTTATTCTGTATCTTTTAAAAATATTTTTAAATCGTAGCTCTAATAGTCCTTCAACGAACCCAAAACTTACAATTTGTAACAATCTAATCGTTTAGCTACAATACTTCGTGTTGTATGTGGTGAATAACACTGTATTGTGATTGTTTTTGTTACTTCTTTAAGTCTACGCAACTTTAATATATCCACTTGTCAATAGGCCCACTACCATTTATTATTCTATTAAAATAGTTCTAATCTCATTCTAGCTAACAAAAATATTGATATATTAAATCAGTAATTTAATAACTAAGAGAGAGGGAGCTTAGTGCTGCTAAATCAATCAACTGGCTTTTTCCACCAAATTTGAAACATTGTTAGATATTCGAAACATTGTTATAAGTTACTTTAAACCGACTTTATAGATACTATTTTTCAAACTTACTTGGTTGAACGATAATATGACAAGAGACAGACGGGTTTCCAGTATATCCACTCAGACAAGAACAAGACGGAACATGATTAGATACACGACATTCGGCATTAATTCCACATATTCCAGGACAAGGATCTTTACACTTATTATTGAAACATGCCTTATCTCTCGAGCAATCGGAATTTGTTACACATTCAGGTTTGCAAGCGGTGTACGGATCGCCAAAATACTCGGGTAAACAAGAGCACGAACCTGCCCCATTTCGTTCCTTGCAGATAGCGTTTGCCCCACAAGGAGATGGATTGCAAGGTTGTGGTATTTCAACAGGAGCTACGATAGGTATAGGAGAACACCCGCTAAATGGATCACCGGTAAAACCTGCTTGGCACTGACAAATGGGCGAGTGTCTGGTAACGATGCAAAGAGCATTGAATCCACAAGTGCCTGGGCAAGGATCTTTACACCTTTCGTTAATGCAAGCTAAATTTCCTGGACATTCCTGATTGATTGTGCATTCCGGTCGACAGTTTGGTGCGCGGCCAATATAATTTGGTAAACACGAGCATACAGCTTGTGTTCCTACCACTCTACAGTTCGAATTTGTGCCACAAGGTGTTGGAATACACGGATTACCGGTAGGCTCTTCAATTATTGGACGCTCTAAAAGAATATCACAAAGAAAATTTTAATATTACAAATAGGATAATAAATCTTACTGATTTCCTCTATACACCGAATGAACGGATCTCCTGTAAATCCTGACGGACAGGTACATATGGGATTGTGATTTATAACTGTACATTTAGCGTTAAGTCCGCAGGAACCAGGGCAAGGATCTTTACATTTCTGGTTTATACATGTTTTGTCTTGCGAACATTCTGAACTGACTACACATTCCGGTTTGCACATCGGTGGAGCCCCAATATAGTTTGGCAAGCAAGAACATACAGCGTTATTATTTATTTCCCTGCACTGACTATAAGGTCCACAAGGAGATGGTACACATGGGTTTATTGGTTCTCTTGGTTGTTCAATTATTGCTAAGGTAAACACCAATTATAATGTAAACTATATAACTACACTCCCGAGCGTGAAAAACGGACACATTAAAATTTTGATGTATTTTAAAGTTTTTGTATTGTTTTCTAGTGGACCGATTTTGAAGATTCTTTAAGCAATTTGTAGCTAGAATATTTGACTTTTTAGTACCTCTTTTTTTAGCACCTCGAGTGAACACAAAATGTTATTTTGGTGAAAGTTTGGAACACTCTGTGCAATATATTAAAAAAGCAGGGAGCCTGAAAATGATTTTATCATCTAGGTGCATCTTTTCTCTATAGTTTATTTTTTTGGAGATATTCGCTTTTGCAGAAGGCACTAATAATTTTCGTAATTTTTACATTAAAACTGTTCCTTTGCTTTTAGTCCCAGTCAGCAAAAACTTTCAGTGTGAAATAGTGTTTATGATTTATGTAATGTCACTGTTGGCTGACTCTAGCAGAGATGGTTTTTAGTCCAGAAGTTGTATCAGCTATAGTTGCTTTAATAATTGAAGATGATAGAGATCAAAATTATGTCGCTAACAGATTTGGTTGTGCACGAAGTACAGTGCAGTGGCTTCTTCGAGACAAGTCCATGTGCTAGACGTCCAGGAACCTTCGTATGGGAACTTCGAATCGAGACGATCGACTTATTATAAGTTTATCGCTAAGAAACCGCCGTTTGCCAGCTTTTCAAATTTATAATGAATTGCATCTAAGGAATGTACAGGGTGGGTGAAATTGGATGCTTTTAAAGGGAAACACCCTTTTCTATAGGAGATAGACGAAAACTAAATCGGTGTCTGGAGCTCAAATTTGATCAAAAACATGATGGTGAAAACCGCACATCGATATCTATTACTGTTTCGGAGTTACGGGGTGTTTTTCAAAAATGTGCATTTTTAAAAAATTGCTGTAACTTTTTTGCTATGGAAAATTTTGTATTTCTATGAAAACATTTCCAAAGCACCTTTTCACGTAGAATTTAATGGTTTAAATATATTTTTTTTAAATTAATAATTTAACAGTTATCAATAGAAAAATTGATATTTTATTTGGGACACCCTGTTAATTTTTAATTAATTGAAAGGGACTTAAAATTACCTTTCCAAAAATATAGCACACTTAATATTTTGTTATAATCTCCTTCGAAATACAGCATTTTTAAAGGTTTGCCACTTTTAACTAGTAGGCTTTGTACCCCTTATTGATGATCTAATGGCCCCTAATGGAACTCGAAAACATATTTTTCCAGCAAGACGAGGCACCACCTCAGAACGAAGAAGTTATCAGCAAATTTTTGCAGTTAATTTCGGGAATAATTGAATAGCCTAACCAAGATCCCAGTCGTTGGCCGTTGAGGCTGCCGGACTTAGTGCTTATGAATCTAATAATATGAATATCTTTTGCGGAAGAATAAAGGTTCTTATTTTTAAATTGCCCCTATAATCTAGACAAGAATAAGAAGTGCGAGTGCGAATTATGCGAGGGTATCTTTCACTCCTACTGAGTTAATGAATACCGAGAGAAATGTTCAAAAACGGCTCCGTCTGTCAATAACAAAAGTCGATATATCGAACAATTGTAGCAAAATTTCATGTGTTGGTTTGCTATTTATTTTTATTATTATTAGATAATAGTTTAAATGTGTTGATGTTGATAAATATAGTTTAATTTGTTATAAAATTCTGCATCTCTCATTGCAAATATTATTTTCGTTTTAATTGCTGCTCACAGCTAGATTTTTTTGCATTACAGCCGGCGTCGTTCAAAGCCTACTTATTCAAAGTGGGCGAATTTTTATAAACTCTATATCTCGAAGAGGAATTGAGCAAAATATCAAGTGTGCTATATTTTTAGAAACAGGGTCCCATATAAAAATCAATTTTTCTGTTGATAACTCTTAAATTATTAATTTAAAAAACTTATACTTAAACCATTAAATTTTACGTAAAAAGGTGCTTTGGAAATGTTTTCATAAAAATACAAAATTTTCTACAGCAAAAAAGTTACAGCGATTTGTTAAAAATGCACATTTTTGAATAACACCCCGTAATTCCGAAACGGTAACAGATATCAATGTGCGGTTTTCACCATCATGTTTTTGATAAAAATTGAGCTCCAGACACCGATATTAGTTTTCTTCTCCTATAGAAAAGGGTGTTTCCCTTTAAAAGCGTCCAATTTGACCCACCCTGTACATGTAAGTGACTGGACTGTAAGAAGAATATCAAATAAAGTAAATCTTATGTCAAGAAGGCGAACACAACTTACTAAACTGTTGACTAGGTACAAAAGCAAAGGCATGGGCTAATGTAACAATTATGAAAAAAATGTTAGTGTCTTCTTCAAAAGCGAATATCTCCAACAAAAATAAAGCTATTTGAGATGAACCAAAAAAACAAACTATCTAGAAAGGATGTACCTAGAAGAGAAAATTTTATTTTTAAATTCCTCGTTGTCTTGATGATATTCCTCCATGATATTCCACAGGGTGTTTCAGACTTTCACCAAAATATCAACATTTTGTTTTCCCTTGTATAATTGACAGATGAAAACTTTCATTTTTAATTTAGAAGGAGATACTAAAAAGTCAAATAACTTAGCTACATATTGATTAAAAATCATCAAAATCGGACGACTAGAACAAAATATATTAAACTTTAAAATACATCCAAATTTTAAAGTGCCCGTTTTTCGTGCCGGTTGGTGTATTAAGGAATAAGGTAAATCTTACTGGGTATTTGGTGGCAAGATATAGTTGGATTCCCTGTAAATCCAGGTAAACAATCACAATTTGGAGCATGATTTCTAACAAAGCATTCTGCATTAAGTCCGCATGTTCCAGAGCAAGGATTTTTACATTTATTGTTAACACATGATTTATCTCTAGGGCAGTCAGAGTTCTGTACACATTCGGGTCTGCATCCAGTATAGGGGTCGCCAAAGTAGCCAGTTATACAAGTACACGATCCCGCTCCATTATATTCTTTACAGTTGGCATTTGCCCCACAAGGTGAAGGGTTGCACGGATGTGAGGGTTCTTCGATAGCGATTACTAAAAGTGATAGTGACATCAGGGAGTAATTGCGTTTTCGGTTTCAATATCTTACGTTTTTGGCATCCAGAAAATGGATCACCTGTATAACCTTCAAAGCAGTAGCATACAGGAACATGATTGACTACATTACATTGAGCATTGGAGCCGCAAGATCCTGGACACGGATCTTTACATCTTTGGTTAACGCATGCTTTATTGAAAGAACATTCGGAATTGATTACACACTCTGGTCTACAATTGGGTGGTTGTCCAATATAATTTGGTAAACATGAACATACTGCTCTGTTATTCACATTTTTACATTCTCCAAAAGACCCACAAGGAGAGGGGATGCATGGATTTGATATTTCGATAGCAACTGGCGGTTCTAAAAAACAATTTTCGTTTAAAATTTTGGGGTTAGGGTATTACTCGTTTTAGTTTCTCTTAAATAATTTTTGTTAAGCTCTGTGTTATTTTAGTAGAGTTATTTTGGTTGTTAGACTTGTAAAAGCCGATTATTTTGTGACAGTTCTTACTTATTTCCGGTAAACATCTAATAAAGGGATCTCCTTCAAAGGACTGAGGGCAGCTACAAATAGGGCTATGGTTTACGACTCTGCATAGAGCATTAATCCCACATATTCCTGGACAAGGATCAACGCATTTTTGATTTTGGCATGTCTTGTCTAAAGTACATTCAGAGTTGATAATGCATTCAGGTTTACACATGGGGGGAGATCCGTAATAGCCTGATATACAAGAACACACCGGTCTTTGCCCTTGAATGCGACACGTGCTGTAAGGGCCGCAAGGTGATGGGACACAAGGGTTCTCTTTTGGCGTTTCGACAACAACTAAAATATTAAAACTGTAGGGTATCTAATATGACATAAAATCTGGTAATCTTACTGGGTTCAATTTTTCGGCACAAAATCAACGCATTTCCTGTGTAGCCGGGAGTACAATAACATTGCGGATTATGATTAATAACAGAACATTCTGCGTTAACGCCGCAAGTTCCAGGACAAGGGTCTACGCATTTCATATTGAGACAAGCTTTGTTATGGGCACATTCACTACTGGTTACGCATTCAGGACGACAACCTGAATACGGATCGCCGAAATACCCTGTTATACAAGAGCAAGAGCCCGCTCCATTTTGTTCTCTGCAAAGAGCATTTGCACCGCATGGGGATGGGTTGCAAGGGTGTCGCGGTTCTTCTACGACTACAAGGAAAAGTGAAAGTATTTATGTACACTACACATGAGAAAAAGTAAAGCGTTGATAGAGTTGAAAAATAAAAAGTAATAGTAATAGAAAAGAAATAATTACAGTGGGGTAAATGTAGTACAACAGATGCCTAAGTTTGTTGCTTACAAAGGTGAATAAAGTGTTGATTAATTTGTGATTACATTCTTGGAAACTCATATTTATTTCGTAATATATGATTAAGTGATTGCTTTAGTGTATAAAAATTTCCATACAACGCTACGAAAAAATATTATTTTTTAAATATTTTATTATTTTTTTTAAATTAACAAAATTAATACATTTACGTTAACTACTTCGTGAATTATTGTACGTCAAGAAGGTAAAATTGAATTTATCAAGTTATAGATCCACTAATCATACGAAACATCAGTTGCATTTTGTACAGTTACAATTACAGATTTAAGTAAATAGGAATTTTGTTTAAGCCTATTGAAAATCAAAATTATTTATTTATATTTCATTTTACTGTGATTAAAATCCTTCGTCTTCTCGTCAGTAGTTACGGTTGTATTTACAGCAATACCGTACAAAGTATCTCCTAAATAAGTGCAAGCCGAGATGCAAGCATTTTAGGTGGTAGTAACGTGTACTTTGGTCGCAGTGTTTTTGACAGAGGATGGTCGTGGCTCCTTGTTATCGTTACTGAACGTGTACTTTGTCAAAAAATTGCGGAATATTTTACATTTTTCTTGACATTTTCCGGAAAAATAAAAATAAAAATTTTTGGTGTTCCAGTTTTATTCTCACGGAATCTCTTGATCAATCGATGCCACTTCTTACGATACCCACATTCTGCATATTAGTAGGTTTATAATTTCACAGTAGTTTTAATTTTGGACATAAAAATACGAAAATAAACTTTTATTCATGTCACTCTGCTGCTAATTCTAGAAAAAACGCACACTTTAATAAGACTAAATCAATTTAACATGATTTAAAACGACGATCCCCAACTTTGAATTTTAACTGAACATAAAAGTAAAAATAATGCCAATAAGATAAATAAAAATAGTAACCCCTATATTATTCAAAAAATGTTTCTAATTGTTGTATTGTAGGATTTAGAAACATGTAACAAAATGCATTGTATGAACATATAACGAAACATGTTCATAGTACAGTAAAAAAATATAACATTAGATTTTAACAAAAATAGTTAACATATTAGGTACTATTTAAGTACTTACAAATAACTTAGTTTATGTGTTCGAATAGTTAGAGTCTTTTCATATTAAGCGATGTTCTTTAATAGGTAAAACTATGGGGAAATAAAGCTTGTCTAAGCAATCGTCGCTTATGTAAGCGGGTCCCAGCTACTTTTAATAATAATAATAAATAATAATAAAGTATCTTTATTAATATATAAATTACATCGTGCAAAGTTCTTGTCCAATAAAAACCTTTTTGGATTCTACGTTTATTAATGCCTCGAATACTATTTTCAAATATTTCCTCTAATTTATTCCAAACAATAGATAATAAAAATTATGAACATTTTAATAGCGTTATAAAAGAAATATTGGCAATACATCTATTACCATTGTAATAAAGGTGACAACAGTACTGGTAAATCTTAGGCCTCGCCCTAACACATTTTCAGTTCTGGCTAATTTGACTTCAGGTTTCTAGCCTAATTGGCGCCCGAGCAGGGACCAAGGCAACTCGGCGTCCGTAAGCGTTCTCAAAAAGGGAGAGAACCTTACAATTGTATATTTATTTTATTAAGGATTACCGAAATTATGGGTATAGGAAGACCTTATCTACTCGTAGTTCTTTTGTCCAGATCTACCACCCCCAAAAATATCTGCACTTATTTAAGAGATACCCGTATATAATTAGAATCACTGTAATAATTCACGTATTTTTCGTTGAAAATTTAACTCATATATATTACATATTATATTCAATTTTGTAGTATTTTTTGGACCATTTTCATTGTATCCAACACCAAAAACTATTATTACATGCGCCTTACCTGCGATTGGATTACATCCGGCGTATGGATCTCCTTCGAAGTTGCTTTGACAGCTGCATACTGGACGGTGATTGATGGCAGTACACTCCGTGTTAAAACCGCATGAGCCGACGCACGGGTCCTTGCATTTTTGATTTGCACAAGCAAGATTCATCGGGCAATCTTGGTCAATGGTACATTCCGGCCTGCAATTGGGCGGAGCTCCGAACATTCCATTCAAGCAACGACAAACTGCCCGGTTGGATACTGTCTGGCATTCTGCGTTAGCGCCGCAAGGAGATGGAATACAAGGCGTAGTAGGGACTTCTTTCTCTATTTCTAAAAAAAATATTTAGTTTAACTTGTCTAGAGATATAAGAATATAAGTTGTTTCATACTTTCTGTGCATTGAACAAATGGATCGCCAACGAAGTTTGGTGGGCAACTGCAAATCGGGTTGTGATTGTGAACTTGACATTTAGCATTAATTCCGCATGTTCCAGGGCAAGGATCTACGCATTTTTGATTGATACATGTCTTGTCTAGAGAACATTCTGAACTGACAAGGCACTCCGGTCTACATCGTGGAGGAGCTCCAAAATATCCAACTTGACATGAACAAACTGCTTGTCCATTTTGTTCACGACATACACTGTTTGGACCGCATGGTGATGGCTTGCAAAGAGCTGCAACAAATACGATAGTAATTACTAAATATTTAATATTAGTTTTAGTCTCTTACATTCTTTTACTGGTGGCCTGTCGCACGAAACTTGAGGATCTCCTATTAGTCCTTTAGAACAGGTGCACACAGGAACGTGATTGAAAACACTGCATTCAGCGTTAAACCCACATAAACCCTGACAAGGATCCCTACAGTGTAAAGACAAACAAGCCAAATTAGATGGACATTCGGAATTTGTAGAACATTCCGGTCTACATCCTCCAGAATATGGATTTCCTATGTAAGGAGGAATGCAGGAACACTTAGCCGCCCCATTATTGTAACTGCATTGAGCATTTTCTCCACATGGAGAAGGATTACATGGATCTTTTGGTCTCTGAATTTTTGTACAACCGATAAAAGCGTCTCCTTCATATCCGGACAGGCAACTACAGAAGGGTGTATGATTTACTACGTCGCATTTAGCATTAGGGCCGCAGTTACCAACACACGGATCTATACACTTTTGATTAAGACATGCCTGATGTAATGGACATTCCTGGTTTATTGAACATTCGGGTCGACAATATGGTGGACTACCGATATAATTTGCTACACAGGAACAAACTGGTCGATCTTCTTTGACTTGACAAATCGAGTTCGGACCGCAAGGTGATGGACTGCATGGATTAATAGGTTCTGCCGTAGTAAATGGTATTTTAGGCTCTTCAACAACAGCCGTGTAACAATTTATAAACGGATCGCCTTCTTGTCCGGCTGGACAACTGCAAATAGGATTGTGATTTATAACGGTGCATACAGCACCAACACCGCACGTGCCTGGGCATGGATCAGTGCATATTTGATTAATACACGATTTAATTGGCGGACAATCAGAGGTTACAATACATTCAGGTTTACATGCTGGCGGAATTCCTTGATAATTAGGTAGACAAGAACATGTAGCGTACCCTTGATGAGATACAAGACATCTACTAAATGGTCCGCATGGTGATGGATCGCAAGGATTTTCAGGTGGTGCTGGAGGAAGATATGAAACTATCGAACAAGCTACGAAAGGATCTCCAGTGTACTTTGGAGGACAACTACAAACTGGGATGTGATTAATTACATCACATTGTGCGCCTACTCCACATACTCCATCACAAGGATTTTGACATTTTTCATTTATACAAGCCTTATTCAACGGACAATCTGGATTAATTACACATTCTGGTCGGCAAGCTAACCAAGGATCTCCAAAGTATCCTTTTTTGCAGACACAGGCTAAACCGTTGGTTGTTTTTATGCAATCAGCATTAACACCACATCTCACGTTTTCGCATGTTTCTTCTTCTATTACTGGGGCTAAAAATTAAATAAAGTTAGTAATTATAAATAAATAAATTAAAAATTATCTTACTTTGTGGAACAACACATTGCTGGAAAGGATCTCCTATTAAACCAGCAGGGCATGAACAAATTGGTGCGTGGGCTACTACTGAACATATTGCATTAATTCCACAAGATCCAGGGCACGGATCTATGCAGTTAAACCTAATACATGCCTTGTTGAATGGACAGTCGCCATTTATTAAACACTCTGGTCGACATTGCGGATTATAAGCAGCTTCAGGGCCCAAACATGGATCGCAGACAGCTATTTGTGTGCCATATAAACTGCATTCCATATTTCCACAAGGAGAAGGTACACATGGTTGAGTGGTAATATTAGGATATGTTGGAATTGTTACAACTGGTGTTTTAATACATTGTAAAAATGGATCTCCCCTATAGCCCTCACTACAAATACATGTTGCCGTGTGATCTCTGACTTGACAATTGGCATTAACCCCACATAAGTGACTTTGAGCGCAAGGATCCCTACAATGCCTATCTATGCATCCTTTATTAATTGGGCAATCTGAATTAATATAACATTCTGGATGACATCCGCTCTGAGGATCTCCGTGGAAGTCTGGTAAACAAGAACAAACAGCACGATCGGATAAAACTTGACAAATAGTATTGGGACCGCAGGGATTTGGCATACATGGATTATGCTGTGGAAGAGGCTGCGGTACTGGGAAACATCTGATGATAGGGTTTCCTGTGAGTCCTGGTTTACAGGTGCATACAGGATGATGCTTTTCTACACGGCACTCGGAATTTATACCGCAAGATCCTGGACAAGGGTCCATACATCTATAAGAAATACAAGCTTGATGATCTCCACAGTTTTCATCAACTACGCACTCGAATCCAAAGCAGCCGATTGCGCCTGTTGGGTCACCTCCCATACCTTCAGGACAGCGACATAAAGAATTTCCATCGGGAGTTATTACGCACTGTGCCCCTGGTCCACAAGGGTTGGGCACACAGGGACTAGGTGGTTCAAGCCTACATCCCACATATGGATTTCCAATAAAGCCAACGCGGCAGAAGCACTGTTCTTCGTTGCTCGAAACATAACAATCAGCATTAACACCACATGGACCAGGACTGCAAAGAGTTTTTTCAACCGAAGCTGCGCAGCTTTTGTAAGGGTTACCCAGAGTACCATGTGGACAATAACAAACTGGTTCTCCATGAGGATCGCAAAATGCTCCTTGGCCACAAGGGTTTGGTTCACAAGGATTTTTAGCTTCTACGCACCCACGAATAGTATTGGGGCTCTCCAAGAAACCAGGGAGACACGTACATTTGGCAAAACCGTTAGATAGAATAGTACATTGAGTATTAGGTCCGCAAGGCGATGGGTCACAAGGGTTTGTTGGCAAACTGCAAGGTACCTGCGGAGGAGTACCCTCATATTCGGGAAGACAGAAACATACAGCGCTTCCGCCGACGACTCTACATCCAGAATTAGGTCCACATGGATTTGGTGTACATTCATCCCCTTCTGGAACTGAAAAACGAATAACGATTTTTTACGTATACCGAAGACTTATTTAAAATACTTACTGCAATTTTTAAATGGATTTCCAGTTAATCCTTTAGGACAGAAGCAAATAGGGTTTCCGTTATCTAATTCACAAAGCGCGTTTGTTCCACAAGGATTGGGATCGCATGGATTAGTAGGAGCTTGGCAAGCTATTGCCGCATTTCCTAGATATCCAGCGGGACATTTGCAATGAGGTTTATGATAGATTACATCGCAGATGGCATTAGCTCCACAATTGCACGGTGATATACATTGACTGTTAATGCAGGCTTCATTACTGGAACATTCTTCATCGTGTCGGCATCCTTGAACTCTTGTACATTCTATAAATGGATTTCCTTCATAACCTGCTAAACATCTACACTCGGTACCGTGATTTTTGGGAATACACTCGGCGTTATCTCCGCAAGAGTCTTCGAAACAAGGATTAATACATAATCTGTTCAATCTGTCGCAGAGCTTGTTTGGAGGACAATCTTCATTATATTGACAAATAGGCTTATAATCTAAAACTAAAATTACATATTTTTTTTAGTGATTTATATATTTAAAATATAATATTTATCTTAATAAGCAAGTATATTACCTGGTTCACAGCCAACAAAACCATTGCCTTGGTAACCTTCTTCGCAACTACAATCGCATCCATGATTCGTATTGATGCAAACAGCTTGGGCAGCACAAGGGTTATGAACATCACAGGGTCTTTGACATGCATTAGCTATACATGCTTCACTAAGGGGACACTCTTCATTGCTAGTGCAACCAACTAAAGAGAAGAGTGCGCGAAAAGAGGAAGAAATATTATTTACATCAGTACTTTTTACAAATATGTATAATTTTATATAAAACGATTATGGTTAAGATAACTCATTCTTAATTTTACATATTCTTTTATCGGCAGTAGGGTGGGTAAAAAAAAATCGAATATTTTTTTCCCGAAAAAAAAGGTTGGCAGAGATCTCAAAAAATTCTCTCCAAGTATGAGCTCGTAATTTTAATAGGTTTTCTACTTTTTCCTTATTTTTAGAAAGAAAAATCATATCTCGGTATCTACTATTTGAAAAAAAAATATCTCTTGCAAATTTGTAGATAATTGAATTCTCTACAAAAAAAGTATCTTACAATTTTTTTTTGTAAACCTCACCGTTCGAAAGTTATTAAAGGTTGAAGTTTGATTATTTTAAGGCAGATTCCTTTTTTCTTATGAATTTTATAGCTCGTTAACAAAAAATCATTTTGATATACGCAACTCATAATTTTGTAGGAAATTCTCTTCTTACAAAAATGGTTTCTTATGACTAGTCGATTAAATTAACCGTTTAAAAGATATTCATCCTCAAACTTCAATGCACAATAATTTTAACAGTTTTTGATTAATAATTCGAACAATTCCAATTAATTTATTTTATGAGTTTCGGGAAAATTTGTTAAAATTTGAGTTTATATGAACAGAAAAATGTTTTAAACTTTTTTCTAGATTTTTTAGTCCTAAACATGTACATTGAAACAAAAAGTTATTACATTTTTTCTAATTGAGAATTTCCCAATGATTCATTAAATTTCGAGTAAATAACGTTTTTGTGACAAATTTTATATAAAAAGTATTGATCTAGAAGGAAAAAAAAATTTTTATCAAAAAGTTTTTTTTATTTAATTATCAACTGAGATATTATTTGATTGGAATTGTTCGAATTACTAATCAAAAAATTAACGGAAAAAAATATTTATAACTAAAGGGGCTATGAGAATTTGCTGGAAGTTATTTTCAAGTTCAAACGGCCGCTAGAGGGCGCAACTGCTATGGAAAATAAGAAAATAGAATTTTTACAGAATTTTGCCTAGATAATGGGCACTATAAATAATAGCTTCATAATCTTCAGTAAATTTGGAATTTTTTTTTGTTAGAACCATTTTCCCCTATCTGCTAAAATAAAGTGGTGGGGGAAGGTTAGATCTAACTTTATTTAAATGTTAATAACTCCGGACTGGATGATCAGAATCCAATAAACGAGGGCTTGCTTAAAAGTGCGTTTCTTACTCTATATTATACCATAAAAATACTAATAATAAGGTTTTGAACGTAGACGCTAGGGGGCGCTTTCTTACAATTTAACAAACATGGCGCGTTTTTTCAAAAAAATTAAATACGATAGTATATGTAATTTTAGCCGATAGTAAAGAGTAGTAAAAGCTTAAAAAGTCAGCGAAAACCGCATCTTGATATCTTTTTTCACACCGAAGATATTAGCAAAATTATAATAAATACCAAAAAATAAGCCCTTAATGACCTTATTTTTACAACACGGTATCAGTAGCCCTCTTGATTATGCCCATTCTAACAAAAAAATAAGACTGAAACAGTTAGTTTATTTTAAAATCGAGGAAATACCAGAATACCCTAATACCAGATGTATTAATATCTAATAATTAAGATATTAACAACAGTGAACAAGAAACGATGATTCAGTGAAGTCATGGTAGGCTTTGGGGAAAAAATTGCTTTTTGGACGGAAACAACTTGTCAGAAGTTAGGTTTAAAGATATACAAATTTGCTTACGAACAAAAAAATGCTTAACGTTTCGGAAAGTTTATCTCTTTCCGTCGTCGGAAGCAAAAAATTACAAAGAATAAAGAAACAAACTATTTAAAAATATTTAAATTCAACTATTCGAGAACACTTTAGTTCTTTAAAACAGAACCAAACCAAACCAAAAGGCCCCAAATTTTCTGTATGATTATTTTTAATTTTTACATATGTTATGTTTATTTATGTTATGTTCTTTAAAATCACAAAAGCGATTGCCATACATTACTAACATCTACAGATGCATGAGCAATACATTTATTTTTATTAGATTGTATGTAGGCTATCGCTTCTTTCATTATAATTTTGGCGTTATTAAAATTTATTCTGTGCTCTGTGTACCATGAGTGCTGACAAATCTTATTTTTGTGAAAGTCTCCCTTTCTTAAATAATATTTATGTTCTTTAATTCGAAAATTTAAGGGTCTAGATGTTTCACCAATGTAAAATTTATCTTTTCGGAACGTTAAGCATTTTTTTTGTTCGTTAGGCAAATTTGTATATCTTTAAACCTAACTTCTGACAAGCTGTTTCAGTTTGGGATTAACGCAGAAGTGTTTACATAAAATAACCATTTTATTTTGTAGATTTTCTTGCAGTGGCGAAAAACCCATATAGGATTTTTTGGAGAGATGAATCCGCCACATAGGTATAGACATTTTTTACAAACCATTTTTGTAGAGCAGTGCATTTCCTACAAAACCATGAGTTGCCCATATCATAATAATTTTTGTTAACGAGTTATAAAATTCATAAGAAAAAAGAAATCTGACTTAAAATAATGAAACTTCAACCATTAATAAATAACTTTCGAAAGGCTAGGTTTACAAAAAAACTGTAAGAGACCTTTTTTGCAGAGAATTCAATTTCCTACAAACTTATCATATATTTTTTTCCAAATAGTAGATACCAAGTTATGATTTTTTCTTGCTAATAATAGAGAAAAAATAGAAAACTGAAAGGCGGAGGACTTTCCTATTAAAATTAAGAGCTCATACTTGGAGAGAATTGTTTAGAGTCTACCATGCTTTTTTTCAGAGTATAAAGTCAAAAAAATAATCGATTGATGAGTTATCTTTCCATAGATATAAAAAACGTTACATACTAGAACAAACTGAGACAACAAACAAAACTGGTTCTACTCTTCTAATTTAGACTGGTGTTGGTTAAACGTTACGATTAATCGTTACAATATTAGTGTTACAATTATTATTGGTAATTACGCGACAGATGAAACAAGATAATATATACAGTGACAAAGTTATCTTACTTGTAGGAGATTTGGAACACTTGACCGCAGGATTCCCTTCGAATCCCATGGGGCAAGTGCATATCGGTCGGTGCATTTTGGCTTGGCACCGGGCACTAGCTGCACAGGCTCGTGTAAACTCGCAAGGATCTTGGCAAAGAGACAAGTAACACGCCTCCGACTCGAGGCAGTCCGTGTCAGACTCGCAAGGCTTAGGCGCCCTTTCGCTAGGCGATGCTAGTAGGAATGTAAGTTAATTAGTATTTTTTAGTTGTTAGGTAGGGTGATACAATAAAGTAAATTAATAAAGGACTGGTTTACATTTAGAATCTTAGAGAAAAAAACGTATTTACAAGTTAAGTCACGGCTTTAACCCCAACCATTTAAAGAGATTTATTATACCTATATTGTGTAACCAAGCTCTATATTATAATTATTGTTAATTTGACAAGGTAGGTCTTCAGATATATGTTACAAGCTTTATATGGAGTTCAATAAAGTATTTTAAATTATGTTATACAGGGTTGTTCACCACATACGACACGAAGTATTGTAGCTGAACGATTAGATTTTTACAAATTGTAAGCTTCGGGTACGTTAAAGGACTATGAGAGCTACAATTTAAAAATAATTTTGCAAGATACAGAGTGTCCCAAATAAGTAAAAAATATAATAGTTGTATTTTTTAAATTGAATACCCTATATATTCTTCTATTTTTGGATTCTACGATTAAAATAAAGGTAAATTTGATTAGATTTATCATACTTAAACCTTACCGTTTTTGAAATATTTTCAATTTTATGAAATTGCAGTAAAAATTTTAAGGTTTCATTTCTCCAAGGATATGAAAGGTTTTAATACTAAATATTTACTGAAGATTATTTATTGATCAGATATTGCGTTGCAATAATAAAAATGGTACTATTTTATAGAGAGTGTCGAAAAATGTATATTAAATAATTACTAGCTTTAAACGGCAATTACTTGTTTAATTTAAATGGAACACCCTGTATATTTTACGTGAATCAGATGTACAATTTAATTGTCTATCAAATTGTATTATACCATTTTTTACTTATCTCTTAAAATTTTCGTAGAAAATGCATTTTCTTCTAATTTAGACTTCATTTATCACTATACCCATGGACTATTGACATTTTAGATTTTTTAAAGCAACATATATACAAAATGTACAGGTGATAAAAATAATAATATTGCAAGGCCCATTTGTTTACAAAAAGAAAACTATTTAAATCTTTATAAAAGAGTATACCAAATATTACTAATTATTAATAGACCACCATTATTTCTACCCAAAAATTAGTTAATTACATACTAATTGTTTTAATGAATAAATTATTCTAAATAAATGTGGATTTGACTCAGAAATCAATACAATCATAAGTTATGAAAGTGAACGTCTGTCATAAATAAGCATTCGTCAAAAATGAAATAAAATTTATTAGTTATTACTTTTTACCACACTGTCTAATACACATACAAAATTCAGTTTTTTTGTATTTGGAGCAATTATTATTATTAATCAATGTAAAAAATCAATTAATGTAGTTTGAATACTGGAATCATATTAATTGGTCCTCTTTAACAAAAAATATTTAAACAGGTTTTTTTATCTTTTAATAAAATAACCGAACTATATCGACAATAGTAGTATCTGGTACTCTTTGAAAATTTGTTACATCTTTAAAAATCATCTAAAATGTCAATATTCCATGGGTATAGGGTGATAAATGAGGTTTAAATTATAAAAAATGCATTTTCTACGAAAATTTGTAAAGATAGGTAAAAAATGGTATAATACAATTTGATAGACAATTAAATTGTGTATCTGATTCTCGTAAAATATACAGAGGGTTCCATTTAAATTAAACAAGTTATTGCCGTTTAAAAATAGTAATTATTTAATATAAATTTTTAGACAGTCTGTATAAGGTAGTATTTTGTTTATTATTGCAACACAATATTTGATCAATCAATAAACTTCAGTAAATATTTAGTATTAAAAACTTCGATACCCTTGGAGAAATGAAGGCTTAAAATTTTTACTGTAATTTCATAAAATTAAAAATATTTCAAAAAACAGTAAGGTTTAAGTATGATAAACCTTAATCAAGTTTACCTTTATTTCAATCGTAGAATTTAAAAATAGAATAATATACAGGATGTTCCATTTAAAAAAATACAACTATAATATTTTTTACTTATTTGGGACACTCTGTAGGTTGTAAAAATATTTTTAAATTTAGCTCTAATAGTCATTCAACGAACCCAAAACTTAAATTTGTAAAAATCTAATCGTTTAGCTACAATACTCCGTGTTGTATATGGTGAACAACCCTGTATATTCTAAATGCGAACTTTTATTAAAAATAGAAACATTTTTAAATACGAACATGAATAAATATCATAAAAAGAAACATTTAACTGTATTTTAAGGCGTCATTATTATTATAGTGTAAAACATACACACTATTATTAGGTATTGTGAATCTACATATCATAAGGATAAATACTAATTTAGGTAATTAAAGTTATTTTCATATAAACATTTTAAAGCTTTGTTTCTATTTCTTCCTCATTCTGGAATATGTAAGTATAAGAACTTGAGAAGATAAACGAAGAAACAATTTTTATATACAGGGTGACGCCTCTCATACGACGCGGATGTTTCAAGGAGAACTAGAGTTCTAGACAGTTTGTATTGAAATGAAATTTTGTGAGCATATGTAGGTTAATTCAGAGCACTGTTTAAAAATATAGAGAGTTCTAAAGGGTGTTCCCAAATAAAGTTATATATCAAAGTTGTGTTTTTTATAATGAAACACCCTATATATTAATTGATTTTCGGATTCTGGGAGAAAAATAAAGGTGAGTTTTATTAGAGAAGTATATGACTAAAATGTAAGGTTCTTGACATATTCAACATTTTCTAAAAATAAAGAACAATTTACTTATAGCTACCTAAATTGGAATTTCCCGGTATAGCCTAATATGTAATTAAAATATCTATTGTACTTTAAATTAAATTAGAACTTGATCCAAAAACTTGTACAGGGTGAAACAAAATTAATATTGAACATTGGTCATTAGCAAGTTACTCTTTTATTTTAAATGGAACACCCAGTATATTATTCCGATAGGATTTCAAAGGGGAATTCAAGTCTCTTCAAAATACTCTAGGTTTCCTACCCCTCAAACAAAGATTTTCCTAGATATTTTCATTTTTATGATTTAGTGTCAGTAGATCTTTATTATTTGACAAAATCTAGGGTTCCTGTGGTATGTCTGACGTTACTTCACAACATAGCTGTCTAATTAGTCCAACTTTAACAACTAGTTATCATTTAATATCAGTTAAAACAAAAAAAATCTTAGAAAATTGCCGAATATGCAAACTTATCCTATATCAGAGAGAATTGATATGATTCTATGTGTTGGTGAATGCAGTGTGTATTCACTAATTAACAGAATACTTAAATGTTCCTGATTTTATCTAGTCTGTTTTTTTATGGGGATATGTTAAAGCCAGTGTTTACAAAACTCGACCAACTATTGTCGAAAACATGAGAGAAATTATTGTAACTGCTTTTCGAGGTAGAACTTCACATGACTGCGCTGTTAAATGTGGCCAATGTTCCATATTAATTTTGTCTGAACCTGTATAACTTTTCGGGTCAAATCTTAATTTACTTTAACATACAATGATTATTGTAATTAAATATCAGGCTCTACAGGGTAAATTAAAATATAGCTAGCTGTTATTGAAATTTAAAATTTACCCTTCATTTTCGCAAAATGTAAAATATGTCAAAATCTTTACATTTTAGGCATATACTTCTTTTACTCAGTAACTTTTTTTGGGGACACCCTGTATAACTCTGTATATTTTTATAAAATGCTTTCAATTAATCTACATAAGCTCCCAAAATTTCATTTTGACATAAACTATCGTTCTCCTTGGAGTCTTCGCATCGTATGAGAGGCGCAACCCTGTATTATAATCCAGGTTCTTAAAATATCTTAACCAAAACTCAACAATATTACAGCTTCAACTTTAGGATAAAAACTGATCAGGATGTTATGAAAAAAAATATAAACTTTCCGTTTTTATCAAAGCAAAACCCAAATTTTGTCCAACTGAAAAAAAAAACACTCTAGGGCTATACCAAAGATTATAAA